CACACACACACACACACACACACACACACACACGCACACGCACACGCACACGCACCTATTATTCTACGATGAAGCTCTGCGTAAAATAGTCATGTTGGCCGTTATGGGTTTGCTTGGAGACGGTGTGGTTGGGGAGAGGGACCAAATAAAAGGGGTTTAGCAGCCGCTTTGTTCACAAGCTGCTCTGACTGCACTGGCCTTTTACCCTCTGCCTCTCTCTCCATCTCTCTCTCTCTCTCACACACACACACATAACACACACTCACACACAGAAAGCAGAGCCATTCGTGCAAACATCCCTGAAAAACACCACGGATTGAGTCTGTAGCACAAATGCCCAGCCGTACAAGCCTGTGACCTTAATGCAACATGGCAGCCGTGTGTGCTGTGGATGCGTGATCATGAGTGGGCTTCAAAACATATATTCACCTTCCCGCCGCATCCCCACTTTTAAGCACTTCTTCAGCCGGCAGTATTGGCACTGATTCCGGTGATGCTGGTCAATGGGACAGTTCCTGTTGGCACGACATGAGTACGTTAAGTTCCTCCGGACGCTCCTCTTGAAGAAACTTTTGCATCCCTCGCAGGTGAACTGGCCGTAGTGTTTGCCGCTCGATTTGTCCCCGCAAACCACACATTCAATATGCTGCTGACTCTGTCCAGAATTCTGACTCCCCTTGTCCCCGGCCGTCCCCGGCGTCGACGGGGGTCCCGGCTGGCTGGGGGTCTGCGGAGTGTGCGGCGCCGCCGACGCCGCTTGCTGCTGCTCCCTCGCCGGCTGCGCTGCTGGATTGGGGCCGCTCGGAGGTCCTCCGGCCACGTCTTCCTGCGGATCTCGCCAGACGCTAACTACCATTGCCATATCTCGGCCCCTGAAAGTGCTATAAAGCGAAATGATCGCCGATGTTGGTGAAGCGCAAAGGAGAGAAAAAAAAATACTAAAATAGGAGAGAGATTTAAAAAAAAAAAGACGGGACAGTGCAAAGTCAAATCAGCGCACGCAGTCTCATATGGGTTCAGAAGGGGGAGTAAAGGCGATCAATACATTCAAAAAAAGCAAGAGGGCGGCTGAAAAGGCACCCGATCAGGATATGCATGTATCGGGAGGCCAGTTCCAAGGTATATTGCAGTCAGCCATTCAGGAATCTCCTAATCTTGTAGGAAAACCCGAGTCCAAACGTGGAAACCAAAGAAAAAAAAAACAGTTGGATATAAAATAGCCACAAAAGAAAGGCAGGAGCGATTCACATGGAGGCAGTTAAAAAATACGAAGGAAAAAAAAAAGAAGAAAAAAAAGAAAAAAAAAAAGAAAACCTTTTTTTTGCTGGAAGGACGCGATCCAAAGTGCTGCGGAGATAAATTCCTTTCTCCTTTCTTCCGCTGGCTCCTTTACACTCCCGTCTTCGTCGTATAGGAAGAGGAGGTTTTTTAAAAAAAAAACTGAAGAGCTGGATCTTTTCTTCTTCTTCTTTACATCTAGCTTCTTAAATAAACCTCATCATCTCGCCCAGCTGCGAAGGAAAACCGCGTCGCCAAATGAAGGACCCATGTATAGTTTCACCTCTCTCCAGCAGGAGGAATGGAGATACGAAGAGGAAGGAAAAAGATACAAAAAATAGAAGAAGAGGAGGAAAAAAAGCACCAACTACTAATAGAATATGCAAGAAGAAGAAGGAGAGACCCCCAAAAAATGAATGCGCTTAAACGAGAGGACCAGCAGAGCAATGTTTCCGAAACGGGGGATCTGCGCGAATGTCTGTATATAGTGAACTTTGACACTACTATTGAAACTGACACGTTTCTATGGAGATCGCTGCGCCTTATATGGTGCTCGTGTCAAGGAGCCAAGAGAGGGGCTGCTGGAGACTGATAATCAAAGAGGACTGACTGGCCAGAGCCCTGCATAGAGGAGGAGGAGAGGAGGAGAGGAGGAAGGGAAGGGAAGGGAGGGAGGGGGGGCGACAGAGGGGAGAGAGAGAAAATGGGAGGCTAAGGTTATAGCCAAGCCCTCGCTTTCTCTCCATTGGTTAGAGTCCCCCTCCGTTCAGCCGCTGCAAAAAATGTCCATCTGAGGAGTCAGTCGGTTTGAAAACGGGAAGAGAGGAAAGGGAAAAAAAAGAAGAGACGATTTCTCGTCATGCAGTCGAAAGAAACAAGCGCAGGTTGCAGACTACTACCTGGTTTCTGTCGCGCTTCGAGTCATTTGCTGATTTATTATTTTTCTTCTTGTTTTTATTTCCCACGCAGGGAGGAAGAATGTCTTGAAACCGCAGAGATTCCCTCCTCCTCCTTCTCCTCCTCCTCTTCCTCCTCGTCAGAAATTGACAAGCGGAGCCAAATTCGCAGAGACGGATCGATCGGCACCAAGTCC